GCGGCTCCGGCGGGCCCGCGGCAGCCCAGCCGCGCCCAGCTCCCCTTCCGCCCCGGCCAGCCCCGGCACTGCCGGCAGGGCTCCGCGCCGCACCCTTCGCTGCCGGGCCGGGGGCAGAAGAAGCGCCCCGAATGCAGCGGCACAGCCCGATCCCCGCCCTGCCAGCGCTGCAGCTCCCTTCCTCTGAAGCCACGCTCTGGCGCTCACCTCACTCCAGCAAGGGCACAGAAATGTGCGCTCCCCTTCAACTGCGTCCCCTAGAAGAGCAGAAAAACAAGGGGCTTGCCTCGAATGATGGCAAAAGGGAGAATTTTACCTCAATCCAAACCCCTTAAAAGGGGGGACAACAGGACTGCCCCCTCCAATTCAACCTCAGGAGGATGAAGTTTCAAAGGGAAAGGAGAAACTCCCGGCTGCAAAGGCGCACCGGCTCAGCTGCTTGGCTGCTGCTTCTCGGCACAAAGGTTTGTCCCTCGGCTCCTCCTCTGAGCAAGGCTCCACGTATCCAGGTGGGTTTCTAGGTGATCCCCCACACCCTGTCCGAAGCGCCCACCGTCCTTCCAGGAGACAGCCCCGGGAGCCCCCCATAAACTCCTCTCCTCCAGTAGCTCCGTGCAAAAGCATTGCGAGGAAAACCCCCTAAATCAGCCGCCGGAGGAGCCGCCACCTCCTCATCATCCTCACAGCTCACACCTGCCACTGTTGCCACCCTCCAACAGTGTCTCTATGTCTCCAGCACACAGCCCACTTCTCACAGACACAGATCCAGCCTAAATGCCTGCTTGTAGGGCAGGCTGCACAGCTGAACTTACCAAACACAGAGAAGCTAAACAGGCACCAAACCCTTGGCTTATTTCTGGGGGAGGCCCTCAGATGGCTTCTGAGCTTCTCGAATCTCTGCTCTACAGGGAGTCTGCCCATCTCTCCAGCAATTGAAATCTTGAGCAGGGAAGCAGGCTGGTAGCAAAAGACTGAGGTAACTCACAGTGAGGCCAAAGGAAACTGAGTGTCAGAAGTACAGCTTTGAGTCCAGAATCACAATCAAAGCCTGGGGAAGAGTGTGGCAAATGCTGGGGTCAGCAGTGCAAGTACAGGGCAAGGCTGGACGGTCCCTGAGCAAAGCACCAGGCACTGCCCAGACCAACCCAAAGACCAGAGTCTCTGAGCAGCTCAGGAGGCACCGACTGACTCCTTCCACCAAAGCACAGGCACAAAAGAGAGCTGCCTTCGCTGCAAAACCCCCTGATCAAAACTCTACTGTGCAGCAGGATTTCTGCTTCACCTTGCTATCACCTGCATCAATGCTCTGCAAAGCGACTGATCCAGCTCCTACACCACCGTGTTACTGCAAGGGAAGAGCTGGTGTGCTCAGGAAAAGAAGAGCTGCAAGGTTCACACTTCCCAAAACCGTAACTGACAGCAGATGCATTATGGTATTTCTGTAAAAATATAAACATATAATGAGGATTTCCCCTGAGAGGCCATATTTTCATTTATTTAGGAAACACGTATATGATGGAATCTCTCCATAGCACAGATGCTTCAGAAGTTGACATTACAGATTTCTCAGAAGTGCCACGGTCAGAGGAAATCAATTTTGGTCTTGAAAGCCAATTTTGAGACAACTCTCCCAGACACAAGGTACTGGCTGAGGAAACAGTGAAACAGAAAATTAGGCACTAGGCACTGTGTGACATCAGGAAGTGTATTTCTGTTTATTTGCCTTTCTTCGAGAACTTTAGGTCACCATTAGGCAAAGGAGTGCATACAAGGATGTACAAGAAAAAGATTAAAAGAGACTTTTTTATTATTGTATTCTGTGGCATGAAAGCCCAAAGCCTTTTGTATTTGTTTGTTTGTTTTTAAAGGGTATGTTTCTACTCTGGCTGAGGTGTTACAGTTCAGAGAACAACCTACCATCTGCAGGAAACCTCTTTAGAAAATCAGAAGTGAGTAAAGCTATTTGCTGAGCTGTTTTCCTGAACAAACACTGCCAGCTGCACTAATAGTATTTTACCAGACACTTGTGAGTTTGTGAACTCCTAAGTTTATAAAGAAATAGGAAATCCATCTGCAGGGTGACAGGGATGGGGAAAAGCGGTTGGAGTTGCTTCCCCCTCAGCAGATTCCCACCTGCTATAAACAAACGGCGTTTGCTCAGTACAGCCACCATGACCTGGCAAATCTGCCTTAAATCTCCCCAGGCATGAACAGCTTGCCCATAGTCTGACACACCGTCTTAGTAACTCTCATATCTGATATAAAATCCCACCGTTTGTCTCCTAATATCCTTCACACAATGCTCTGTCTGTTCACATCCACACTGTAAGCTGATGAATTGGAACAGCCTCGGCCAAAATCAATGAAAATGCCTTCAGAATCAGAGTGGATAGACTCCAAAATCTGATCCACTATGTTCTCAGGGCTGGAAGAGGGAACTGGAAGTAAGGAAGTGTCTCTGTCTAGCTCAAAAGACCTGTGTGGATCACCAATGGAGCGGAAGAGTCCTTTCTGTTGCTCAGCTGTGCCGAGTTTGCTGGTGCACTGCACGGAGCCAGTGCTGGGCCTCTCCTGGTCTCCTGGCAGTGAGCTTTTCGGGGCTGTCATGGAGCTCTTGGAGCCGCTGTCCATGATGGTGGTGAGGTCGGAGTAGCCCTGGAGCTCCAAGCAGGAAGTCATTTCTGAGACGGAGTGCCTTCGGATGCCGGTTCCATTGGCAGCCGTGCTCTCCGTTTCGTACTCGGCCACTGGCGTCAGCAGTGGATTGTTGTAGCTCTTGGATCGCACCACGGGGTTCTTGGCAAGGATGTCACCCGACTTGGAGCGCCTGAAGAACCGCTTCTCTGCAAACAAAGATCCAGAGTAGTAGCTGCAAAGTCTCCTACTACTGTACTAAGAATTATCAGTGCTCAAAAGAAATGTCAAGTCCTGATTATTCGTAAGCTTTTCTTGAATGAAACTTTTCTAGAAGAAGACATTTTGCTGGTTTTGTAGATTCACAGGCTTCAGATTTCCTACATTTCTTTAGCATACTGAAGACCCCAAAATTATCTTTAGAAATAATACCTGAGATTCCCTTATATTCACACAACTTCACCAGCTGAAATAAAACAGTAAATACAGTGAGAGAGGGGATATACAGTTGTAAATACTTTCTTTAGACAAGAACAGAAAGTGCAATTCTGTTCTTTTCCAGGCTATAAATATTTCTACTAATTTCTAATAGCTGAAATGTAACTTTTCCACCCATCCTGGGAAAATAGAAGTCTCTTCATATTTGGAGCATGAGGATTAAAACAGGCAGTTTTTCTACTAATTCTGGAAAAACTTTTGAAGTTCAGAGACCAGATGGGGGAGACCACCAAGAGTGATTGAAAATGTTAACTAGAGGGCAGTACCCACAGAAACCTTTTTTTGGGGGAGCAAATCTACCTTAAATCCAGCAGTGATCGCAGGAATGCTGGTAACCAAGTGGGATTTTCCCAAAAAATAAGCAGCAGATGGCAGCAAGTGAGCACAGAGCGGCCTTTCTGGCAGTAGTTTAGCATTGGAATGTCTGGCAGTGTGAATAAAATGACCATCATGAGCAAAACGATCGCCACTCAAATTCTGGGCAGGTCTGAGTGCTCAGATTCACTCCTGCTATCAGAAGAAAAAGTTGTGTGAATACCAGGTCTCACTTTTGAAGCTTCTTTCTGCTGCTCTTACTTTGCCATCCCATGAAGGAGGCACAACTGGACCAGGGGATCAAACTACTCTCTGGAATCACTGACAGCCACTGCAATAACTGTCTGCTTTAAATCAGGATGCTGGTGTATGTTCCCTGCAAACTCTGCAATTTCCTATACATATTCCAATCTCTTAAAATTATGCTATTGTGCGATTATGTGCTTACCTGGACACAAATTCCAATCATATGCTGTACTACTAAAAAAGCCAATTTCTGTATTTAAGATTGTATTTTGCAGCTGTGTCTGCCTCAGCAGTGAAATAATCTGACCTGAGTTCAGTTTTGGACTTTTTCTTTGTTAGGAGTTTGAGATGGGAATCAGAAAAGGTTCCTAAGGCTATGAACTCTGGTAACAACTTGCAACATGCTAGCAAAATAGTTGAAGAGAATTAGATGCACTCGTTTAAAAGAAGCAGCCACTTAGACATTCAGTTCCCTTGGATGCAGGTTCAGGGTTTACAGTGAGACCTTCAGGAGTATTGCTACATCTACAGACCAGACCACAGCAAGAGGAAGTGCCCAGCCCACCAAAACCTTCCTGTCTTCTGCACTCATGCAGTCAGACATTTATTTGCTAACAATTCATTTCACTGATGCTTTATTCTCTTTGGGTGCATTTCTGCTATCTTGACATACAAAAGATTGTATTTAGAAAATGTCAGTTTGGGGTTCCATTTAAATGCTTGTGGCCTTGTAATGGCGAGCAATGAATACAAAGTAGTAATCCTGAACATTTTCCATAAATAACCAGCCTCTATTTAGTCACATAAAACTCATTTGTTTCTTAAACACCTGCTGCAACACAACCATTTTGCCGTTCAGCTCCAAGGGAAAATCAACTACTTTACTGACCACTTCTGACAAGCAAACAGACTAAATTGAGTGCAAAGAAAACATGCAATTGTACTTATCTTCCCTTCTGTCTGCTCTACTTAATCAGACCATCCCAGTATTTACAATAAAATACCCAGGTACTACCACATTTCGTTTTTCATTTAGGCTGGTAGCATTCCCCTTGTATTTCCAACAGATTGCATTGCTATGCAGGATATTCAACCTTCATCCTGGCTAAATCTTGCCATCACAGAAGTCACCAAAAGCTCCAGAGCTCTAAGAATCAGAAATTAAGCTGGAGGGAACTCAAGCTGCCTCCAGGCCAGCCCACGTTTCCTTCTTGCCCCTTATGGATGCTGATATTTGTGACAGGTAAAAAGTGTCTCAGCAGGAAAGATTCAACAATCTCCAGAGGCAATTCATGTGAAATTAGGGATTTTTCCTTCCACGTAATATGAATTCCGCCTGCTATGTAAGACCCACTCTATTTCTTATCTCCATTGGGATGGAGAACAGCTTACTACCTTCTACTCTGCAGAAAGCTTTTACATGCTTGAAGGCTTATGTGTTAGTCTTCTCTAAGACAAATTCCTACTCTCTTCCCTAATTTTAACAGCCTTCTATGATCGTTGTGTACTAATGAAAATGAACTACTGAGTATTTCAGAAGCGGCTTCTTGCTTCTCCCTCCCACTGTCCATAAAGCATCCTGTGTTAAAGCTCTCTTGTTAAAATGTACCATGGAAATGCTAAACACACTCTAGATTCATTTTACTGATTTTTTTATGACTGAGCACTTTTATGATGACCTGTTTTCATCTTTTGCCACTGCAAGTTTCACAGTGATTCTGCACGCTGCATGGTCTTAGAAGAGAAGCCTGATGTACTCATGTAAGCACTGGCTGTCATCATCTCTTGTGCAAGCCCTGGCCCTGCATGGAGCAAGGTTTTGGGAAGGCCCCTGTGCTGTGCCAGATGGAGTCTGTGTTGCTCTTACCCAGGATACAGGCAGAGTGCGTGAAGGGTCCGTCACTGGAATACAGACCGTACGTGCCCAGGTATGGAGAAACAACCTTCTGGATCAGGGATTCCAGCTTCAAATAATCTTCAGACACACCTTTCGATTCATGAACCCCCTGAAAAAGAGAAAATACCTGAGATGAGCAATGACCCTCCAATCACCAGCTCTCCTGGCTCACCAGGACAACCAGAGGAGAACAAGCATTTTCACTGAGTGCAAGCAAAGGGGGCCTGCAATGTGATCCTGATTTGCTGGTACAGCCGATTCCTCTTTGGTAAAGCCAAGAGATGTCAATCAGACCAGAGCTACTTCCAGGACATTTAAATCAAGTAAAGTACATCCTACCTAGTGAACAGCATGCAGGGAAGGACAGAGGACATAATCTGTAAAGAGGAATTAAAAATATCCCTGGATTTTTTTGCTATTGCAATCTTACAGTGACTTTCTGAAGGATTGCATCTGGTACCACAAGGTGTCACTGCCATCTCGGCAATACCAACAGCATTAAGAAAAAAGTGAAACTAAGACCCTCACAAATATTTCTTCCAGGATATTTTCAACAACCAATAGTTACAGTAAAGAAATTTGTTCTCTTTCCTCATCCATCCCCTGGCACCAATCATTTTCCAGGCAAAAGTCACATTATAATTAGCATGGTAAGAATCACACAAAAGGCAAAATGTTTATCTTTTAGCTGTTAACTCTGCACTACGACCCACAAACAGACTTGTTAGGCTGCAGAGGTGACAGAAAAAGCTTTGCAGAGTTGTAGTCTCCCTTCAGCTTACAGCTGCAGAGTGCGTGCTCCTGTGTGGTCTGAGCAGAGTCCTACACACTCTTGAGTAGGATACCTCTTGCAATATGGAGCAAATTCACACTTTCCATGTGCTCAACACATCATGTTGCAGAATTAAGATCCTAAATGCCATACTCAGCAAGAACTCTGCCAGAATTTAGAAGATTTCATAATGTGTTCCTGAGCTACAGTAAAAAGAAACTGATTTGGATGAAAGCCTCTGGAAAGCAATATAAAGACCAGATGAGTAAAGCTGCAACAGTTCCTTCAGCATGTGACAGGATCCTGACGTTCAGGATGTGTTCACAGCTCAGTGTGACTCACCAACCAGAGTCTAGAGGGGCTCAGATGTGTTTCTGAATGGATGACTCTACCCCCTGGTTGCTGCACTGCCTCATCACTTGATAAAAGTTTATGAATGGAAAATGAATAATGGCTAACAGAGAATTCAAATTTGGACAGAATCTGAACTTGGACAGAGTTTTAATTACAGTTCAGCAGTTTTTAAGTAACAAATCTCTGATGATGTGCTATGTCCTGAAAAACTTTGGGACAGCCACAAATAGAAATTTGAACACAAAGGCATATCCGGTAGATCCAAAAGCTTGCAAACATCAAAAGAACAGCAGAATGAGCCCACAGCTCTTCCACCAGGCAAAATTAACATTGAAATAATTTAGAAGACTTAATGAAAGTACACGTATTGTTTTCATTACGGGCCTATTGAGATCCGTTCTAGGCTCCTTGCTGGGATTTAGTCAAGCCTTCAGAAAGGCAGCATGCCTGCTGCCTTACTACATATTCACAAACCCATCATGAGCACATCAGGCAAAGGCCAGGCCTTAGGACATCCCATATCAGGCTCCCACACTAAATACCTCTGGAACTGGTCTCCTAAACATGACATATATGAGTGACAGAAGCCAGTGATAATTAGCATTTCTCATGCTCAGGCTTGGCTGTGGAGCTTTATTTACTTTTCTACCATTTTAGCATTTTTTATACTTGTGAAAGACAAGTAGCTAAATATCAGCTGTGGGGAAAGAACCCTGTCGTGTCACACGGCGGGGAACTGCGAGGAGTTCTTTTAAAAATGGATGGTCTAGAACGAAATTAAGTGAACCGAGACAATCTCGTATTTGAGAACTGTTTCTTGGTAACCAAAACTAAGAACAAGAAGAAAAGAAGTTGCCCTACTAAAGAGGGCTACAAAAGACA